CCCCAAAACCCCAAAACCCCAAAACCCCGTACGGCAATGACTATTAATGAAAATAGTATAGAACTTTGAAGTATAGATATGGTTTTATGAATAAAAAGATAATTATTCTTAAATTATAGGAGGAATAGTATAATATTAGCTTTTAAGTGCCGGTAAGTTCATAGTTCTCTGGGTTAGATAAGCATTCATTTCATATGGTCTGGTGACACTCTATGACTTTCTTGTTATGTGCTGTCATTAATACTAGTAGATCCTTGAGACTCATCAACATCATCATCATCAGCAAGTGATATTTCATATTCACCAGGCTGAGTGTGGTTATGTTCTGGGCTAGATTCAAATACTGAATCTTCTCTTTGAGCGGACTTTTAGGAAAGGACCTAATCAATAATGCTCTTTTTGCTTGCTGTAGAATTTCTTCCCTTTACTCTTACTTTGATTTTGGATGCAGCAGACTTAGCTGAACTCAAACTGTCCATACTTGCTCTCATCTGTTATTATTAAGTGGCCTCTTGTCTATGCTATTTGGCAAGTTCTTACTCTCCATATTGCTTAATGAAACTATCAACATCCATAAATCCACCTCCTACTCTTAAAAGTAAAATACCATTCAATACCTTTGCTGATACCTTTCTGGTTCCTATTATATAACTTCCATCTGATACCTTTTTAAAGATAAGATCTGTTCCACTCTTAAGTTAGAACTCATAAATCATCTGATCAACTTGATTGTTGAATTTTTTGTCAATGACAGGACTGCTATGATTATTTTTTTCTGGAGATTTCTCTTCTTCTAAAGGAGTATTATCCTCCACTTCAAAAGTTTGGGTTTCAATAGGTTCTTCTTAAATAACTACTTCCTCTTGTTAAACAGGTGGCTCTTCCTCTTGCTGCACTTCTTCCTCTTGGACTTCTTCCAATTCTGGAGGAATTTCAACTGAGGAGCATTTATTGGCAGTTTCTCTAATATCTCTTATCAATTTTTCATATTAACTGTGCACTTGATTAATTACATCAGTTTCATTAGAATTTTTAGCCTTCATAGCCAGAGCTTCAGAGCTTTATTTAACTTATATAAGATTTTGCTAAGCTTCATCAACTTTAGATTTCTCTAATTCTGGCAATCTATGATAAACCTCTAACAAATTTTGAATATCTTCATTTAATTTAGTAGACTCTTCGTGGAGTAATTATTAAATGTTCTGAAGTCTGCATAGTGCAACTTCTTATTAGGCTTCTTTAACTAGATTGCTTAGCTATTTGCTTTATAATGCTAGCTTTGTAATCTCTTCATAGGTAGCTGCTGCTAAATTTTATTTCTTTAGCTCTTATTGGAATGATATCAACTCCTAATGGACGTGCTGCAATTTTCTTTCAGTGTCCTTATTTAGCTAATTGCTATTATAGTCTACTTCTTTTTTTATCAAATCTAACTGAGATTGAGTAATGGAAAGCAGAGAAAGTTCACCAAAAATGCCTCTGATTTCCTTAAAGTCTTTCTTGATCTTATCAAACTCACTTTTGCACTAATCTCGATTCTTCTATATGTCCTACACTTTTCCAAATAACTTAGCCAAGTCTGCTGGCTCAGCCTTGCCTTACCTTGAAGTCTCTGCATCTCTATTCTGGACACATTCTTTTACTTACTACTCCAGATTTTGAATATTTTTATTTAAATTTTATATCTACCCCTCACTCTTTACCAAGGCCTATCTACCATCTTTTTCATAGCTCGCTTTATCATAGTTTTAATTGTCATGTATTCCATCCTAGATGAGTATCTCAATCGGCTTTAACATTTAGTTGAGTTTATCAATGCTCTAGCGAATTTAAGGCAATTCATTCTCCAAGAGATTTAGTGCGTCATTTATCTTCTATATAAGACCAGATGAATCTTTGTATGATGCTAATAAATCCTTCAACTGATTCAATGCATTCTCAAGTTGAGTTATCTTATCATTTAGCACCTTTATATTTTGTTCAATTTCTCTAAGCTTTTAAATAGTATCTGCAGCACCTGGTTCTCCTTCTTCTATGTCTTATAGTCTACCTAGTTGCTTTGATTTGAGATTTCGAACATCATTCATTTGGTTGGCAATATCTTAGCAATCTCGTTTCAGTTTTTACTATATTTGCTCATAAAGTTTAGGAATATATTACCAATAATTCGATTGCATTCTTATAGCTATCATTTTCTTTTTCCTGGGTCTTACTATCAAGAGATTTGATCTCCTAATCCACTTAAGAAATTTAGAAGTCATTGAGTGCATCAAGCGTCAACTTTATTTTATTTTCCATGATTTTCAATTGAATCTACAAAGACTTCAGCAAATCGTCTAAGAAAGATTAAGATTAAAAAAAGAGTTTTAAATAATGGCTTTATACCTTCTTCTTGAGTGCGCTTTCTTTGGATCGGTTAAAGACTGGGATCGATTCCCTGAGCTAAATCTTTTGACTTGGAGCAAAAACAACCCATTATTTAGATAAGATAGAATATATTATTTTCGAAATTAAAAAGTCAAAATAAAGCAAATTTCTTTCAACCTAATTTCACTCCAAAGAAAATAGTTAATCACGGGGTTTTGGGGTTTTGGGGTTTTGGGG